ATTCCTAACGTTGGAAGAGAAAAAAAACTAAAAAAAAAATAGTATTTGTTAAGTGACACCTGAAATTGAGTATTTCAAGATGTTCAATTCATTTTTATATCAATTAGGTATATTGAAAAATAAAGATTCTGCCCAAATATAAGGAGATATTATCATGTTTTTTATAAATATTACGCACATTTTTAAGCGTTCACAAATAATTCCATGACCTTGTATATTATATGTAACATGCATATACAGACTGATTATAAAAATCAATGTTTTAACTGTTTTATCGAAGTTCAAACTAATTATAGCTGTTTTATTTATTATTTGTATATTGTTATGCTTTTCTGATTTATTTTTATATTATCTCTACCTCTTAATATTCATTCAAGCCTCACAATCAATTCTGAATTAATGATTAGTTATCAATTTTTCCTGAATTGTTTTCATCACGATTAATGCAATTATTGATATAAATAAAATTTTAAATATTTTCTCAATTTAACGTATTTGATAAATTACAGTAAGAAGTTTAATAGTAGTAAACAGTTAATGAATATTTTTATGACTTGATAAGATATTTTATGATGAAACATTTTGTGATGTAATAATACAAAATTTTGCAAATAATGTGATGTAACAATATAAAATTTTGCAAATATTCTGTAAAAAAAAATTATTCACGGAATTTTATTTATATTTAAAAATATTCTTGAATACTTTATTCTTGAGCAACTTTTAAATTTATGTAGAATGAATGTTTCATAAGTAACAATACTGTAACTCAATATTAGTTGATTGACGTTTTTTGCATGACTAATTTATAGTCGATATTTCCATGCTAAAAAAAAAATTATATTCGCCTGAGCTAACTGTTTGCATTACAACGGTGTAATTATTATTTCATTAGTCAGATTTGAATTATTATATTAATATATCACTTTCCAATAATTAATATAAGGAACTTGAAGTATCCACGCTAAAGTAATTTAAAAAAATCTGCCATCTTATATCACAAAAAAAAACCGTTCATGGAACTTTCAGTAAATAAATTTTACTTTGAAAAATTAGTATGTGTGTATTGAATATGGTGAAATCTGTTATCAATAAAACAATAAAAATAAATGTATTTATTATTTTCAGAGTCTATGGATCTGACAGAAACTCTTTGCTGGACGAATATTTTGCTGATATATCATTTTTTACCGGGAGTTGTTACAGTTGTCAAACTTCTTGTAAGGATATTGCTTGCCCAACTAATTTTAGCGACATAACGAATTTGGTAATATAATCATAAAATATTCACACCAACGTTTAATAACATTCAATGTTGATATTTAAAAAAAATAGTTTTCAACTTTGTTTCATTTATTTTAGTACCGAGCGACCTGCAATAAAATGCTGCAAGATTGTTCATTCAATGGAAAGAAATTCGATTGTTGTGATAGATTTCTTCCCGTGGAAACAGAATTCGGTATATGTTATTCTATGAACTCTTTGCATACTAGGTAATCATAAAAACATCAAACTCAATTTAAAAAAAAAGTTACATTTGATTAAAAATATTTTTTTAGCGATAAGGGCGCTCTAATTTTGAGAAACAATCGATCCACCGGACCAGGTAATTTAGACATTACAATTAAAGAAGATGTGAAGGTAATAATTAAAATTGTGGTAAGTTATCTCTTTGCATTAATTATTAGTTGACTTCGACAGATTTATTTGCATCCACCAGAAGATGTTGTCCAACAAAATAGTGAACCAGAAATTAAAGATTTGCTATTATGGGGATCAAAATTGTTCATACTATTTAAGGTAAAAATTATTACCTACCAAAAAATAATGTATAGTTTTATATTGAATAAAATTATATTTTGACAGGTAATATAATTTAGTATCATTTTCAGGTAAATTACATCTGCAAAAAAAGTTGCCTCTTCTACTTCATTAAATTATTTCTCATAATTATATCATTTTGCTCTTAGATCTTTACAACTTTATAGACCTTGACGCTCTTAGACTATCTAATATTTTAACATATATATTTAAATTACATATATTCTAGTGGATTTACCTCATTAATTCCTTATGTCCATCTTAATAGGTGACTGAAATTTTAAATGATCATGGACTAGAAAAATTGGCAGTGTCTGATCGTCATTGTCGTTTTCCACACGAAGTTCCTGAAAACATGAAAGCATATGATTTTTATAGTCATTCAACTTGCATAGTACAATGTAAAATTGATGGTCATTTAGATATTTGTAATTGTACTCACCATTTGATGCCAAAAACATGTAAGATCTTAAGATAACCTAAATTTTTTAATATTTGAAAACATGTACAACTATCACTTGATATAATAAATAAAATTTATTATATTTAAAATAATATACTAAGTGTAATTCAGAATTCAGTATTGATTTATTATAGTTCATTTTTAAGTAAAGTTTCTTATTTTGTTAGTATCATAATTTTACCAATTTTAAATTTCAGATGCTGATCGGTATTGCGATTTGGCGGGTTGATTGCTTATCCGAGAATGAAGGTAACGATGTCGGGTTTATTTTAGTATTTTCACGCATTTTGTGAAAAACATTTATTTTTACAGCATTGTTCAGACACATAAAAACCGAAGATACCAATAAACCGGGTCTCAAATGTGATTGCTTGCCATCCTGTGAGGAACCGGAATACACTTGGGTGCATAGCCAGTCGAGGTAACATATGAAGGAAAACGATTCCTTCGGGAATATTGCGTTTTTATTTTATAAGGCAAATCATTTGAAATGAAAAACTTTTTTTAAAAAAAAGTGAAGTTCAAGCACTCGTAAAGGACATTTAATACATTAGTATTTGCAACAGTACATACGCTGGTACTGAAGCCTAATTATATTATTTTATTTTGGAAAAGTGAAAAAGTCGATATAAAATTTTATACATAATTATTCAACCAAAAAATGACATAGTTTTCAGACAAGGAATTGAAAAAAAGTTCCATGGTCTGATGATGATGTTTTCGTTAATAGATAATTCTAAACTTTATTTTTGAGCACCAAAATAAATCTGAATTTAGCTGATAGGCATTCAATTTAATATTTAATATTTTAACTTAATATAAAAATGTTCAATATGTTAAAAAAGATTAGACAGTAAAGATATTTAAAAAAGAAATCAATCTGAACGGTTCAATAAAGTTCAAATTTGGATTACACCGTATATTATTGTTTTGTGATTTTATTGCATTATTTTTGAAGTAAAACTTCTTTAGGCGCAACTAGGGTGTAAATCCGTACAAATGCAACGGAAGTGCCTTACGGCAGATGAGATAAGATAAGAGTCGAGTGCCAAAGATTCGTCATTTGCTGTCGATGATATTTCTATACGGGTCGATTGGGATTAGTCGTCGCGTATGTGAATAGAGATCTGTCGTCGTATGCGTACCGATATCAACAAGGAAATCGGCATAGAAAATAAACATTTTAAAGTTACATCGTAGTACAAATCTTGATTTAATGAAAAATGCCTGAATCAGAAGAATATTTTACCCTGTCTCCGGTAAATAATGTAATGAAAATTATGAAACAAATACAGCTTTTGCGTCGTGTATGAAACATGTTTATCGAAATGATTACGAATATTAATTAGAAGTTATTAATTAGCTAATTACAAACCGATCATGTCATATTTGAAATATGACTTTAATTACATTTTTTTTTTTAAATTTGACGGTTGACACTAATAAATATGTGCATCACGAGTGTTACCAAATTACTAATAAACATTATTCAAAATTGTTATATGATGTATTTATTTTTACTTAAATGCCACCTTGTACAGTAGCAAGTAAGTTTTACTTCACTCGCGTATAAACCTTAGGCGCACTCTTTTTCTGTTTATTTACTAAAATAATTATCAATTTCATTATTGCATTTTCACTAACTCTAATTCAAAATTACAAAAATAATACGTATTTTTATTATTATTATTTTTTATTACCGCCGCAGCGGTGACATCCGAGTGGAAAGAGTTAATACACGTCTTTGGATCAATGCACTCATATACATCATGTACACTTTTTATTCTAAATCATTTTGTTTAATAGAATTATTCTACTAGTAAATCTTAACCTGGGTTTCTTTTTCTTTAGTTTGATCGATGATGCTAATGGAACATATGTTACCTTGAGTATGCAATCTTTACCAACTCAAAAATATGTCAGAAAAGTAGCCAGAACATATATGGATTTAGTCGGTAAATAAATATACAAATACGTAAAATAGTAAATAAAAAATCACTTTCATAATTAATTTATCTTTATCTCTTTACTTTTTTCAGTTTCTTTAGGCAGTAGCATGGGGTTGTTCTTCGGCGCTTCTCTATTAAGTTTGGTTGAATTAGCCTATTTTTTATGTTGTAGAAGATGGCGACATATTTGCTCTTAAAATATCAATATACGCATAAATACTTTTGTGTTAAAATTTATAATTTACTTAGTTACACGCTCCGAGTTTGATCAATATCACAAACTAGTTCTAGTACGAAATGTAATCAGTATAAAAATTTATTGGAATAATTATTAGTAGTAAATAGCTGATAGACAATAAAATATACATTTATAATAAAAATATTTTTCTTAAAAATACTTATGGATAAATTATGGTTTGGATTATATACAAAACGAATCATTGGACTAACAGTGTTACAGAGTATCATGAACAAATGCAAAAAATAACAGCTATTTAGCCTGTCATGAATTTTTTTCTTATACGAAATAAAATAATTTAATGCAATGGGAAATACTGAAAGTAATGTTACTAGTGGCGTTAAGAAACAAGCTGGAGTTTCCACCCAAAAGCTGTATAAGTTAGTTGATTTGAAAGGTAATTTAGAAATAATTTAAGTCAATATTATAAGTGTATTGAGAAAAAAAAAGTGTATTCCCAAAAAATTCACCATTGATGAAAATTCAAAATTTTACATCATTAATATTTACTAATTTCTGGGCAAGTCATCATAAATTAGGCAACGCCTCGAGCTCCAGAAACCTTGAATCACGATTTTGCTTATAATGTGAACCTTATGTAGAGATGTGTGAAATTCAGTCATTTTAAAGATTTATTATATTATTTTCATTTTATATTATGCATTCATATTAAATTTGTAAACAATCAAATGTGAACAACTTGTCAGCATTCTCTGCTAAATGTAATTATTTTATAGATTGCAGAATGAAAAAAAAACTATATTAAATTGCAGTTGTCCACTGAAAACAAGTCTATTTCGTTCTTGAAACGCATAAAGTTTTTTTCTCTATATTAATTGGATTCATTTTTAATAACTAGATAGAAATACGCTAAGAAGCTTTTGTTTTTAGTAATATATATTTCACCATCTACAAATTATGATATATTTTATCTAAATAAATTTAATATTTACCTATATTTTCACTCTAAATAAAGGTGGAGGCTTAATGGTCGATGTAATGAAAAGAGCTGTTCAGAGCAAACAATATGCAGAAATAGATCATGTCATTAAAACAAAAGTTGAGCCCTTTCTGTATAACAAAGGTGCTGGAAAATATATTCCAATTTCGCAAATTGTTCTTATGAGAAACATTGAAAGACCGAAACATAAACAGGTACAAAAGTATAATAAAACTATAATTTGAAAGGATCCTTTCAATTAATAATAAGCTCATTAAGTAACTAATATGACCTCAATTTCACAATCTAATACATTTATCACATTGTTTAATGGTGATAGAAATATAAATTATTGAAGTTTTTTAAAAGTCAACTTCTGTATTAATTAATTATGACTTTTAACAAGAAGTATACATAATTAATTTCCTCGCTTAATGAGATATTTTTCCATCGTTTAATTATTTCAGTTACCACAAATACGTGCTATGGAAAATCCAGAAGAAGAATTTGATGTCAATAAAAATTGTCCGGAAGTTTCCGAAGAAGAATATCAAGCCAACCCATCGTTGTACAAACACGTTTGCTGGGATTTAAATGTAATTTGAGCTTGAAATGATAATATTAATTTCTATTAATTTTAATTCTATTTTCTATTAATATTGTTGCTATTCTATAGCAACATATTTTTTTCTTAAGCTAATAGTATTAGCTACAAATTAATTTTTATTACTAGAATAATAAAAAATGGAACAATCGAGTGATTGATATAGAAACATTCAAAATATAAATTTAATTAACTGTTATTTTTACAGGAACGAGGTGCTGTTGGTGAAACGATATTACATTTGTGTTTATTGAATGTGTCGTCCCTTCTTGCAGATTTGGCCAAGAGACTACTTCGATTTTATCCCAAATTAATTAATGATGTTTATATGTCTGACGAATATTATGGTAAATGCAATCAATTACTATATTATAAATGTAGTGGTAATAGGAAATGTCCAGAGATTTCTTCTACCAATGTTGAAGTATTAAACCATGACACAAGAAATTTTCTAATAATTGTTATTTACCCTTCTGGACTCATATTTATTTATTTTGTTTCAAAAAAACGTCAAAATTGAAAAAAAAATGTTAGAGTAATATAAATCTTTCAGAATAAGGGCTCTAATTGAAAAACGCTAAAAATTTATGCATTCGTACTGAAACTGATATCAATGATTAAATCTTCATTTATAGTAAACTTATAGTACTTAACAGATATTCTTCATTTTACTATATTTAATTCTTGTTACATTTTCAACAATTTCTCAGATTATAGATCTTATTACTATTTTCAATGCTTAATTTCAATTAGATTTATTTTTATTTGATATACTTATTACTTATATAATATTCATATAGAACTAGTGGGGCGTATGGCATCGTGCCTTAAGGCAAATTGCTGGAACTTCCCGTACCAAAAATTATTATTTTTTTTATAAACGATTAACATTTTTGAAAAAAATTTACTCAGAAGAAATTAGATTTTTGAGAAACAATAAATTTGACAAAAAATTACTTTTTTTAAAAAAAAATATTTTTTTTGAAAAATAAATGTTTTCTTCATTTTGACATATTTTGGAAATTATGAACTTTTTTTCAAAGTAATCGTGCTGCTTTAACTGCATAGAGACAAAATGTCAAAGCGCTTAAGCGCCGCGTCGCCGTCTAACGGATAAACATTAGTACGGAATGTAAACAAAATTTATACTTATTGTTAAAATCTCTATTAAGTTAAAATATCTGATAATTCTGATAAATGGCATTTTTTTTACTTTTTTCATTAGATCTCCGCAACCGCTAAACCTGTCTACATGAAAATTTGATCAATTCTTCATCTTGTCAATACAAGTAAAATGTGTTTTGAATTATGAAGATCCGACGCTTCGTTCTCTTAAAAACTGAGTTACCATTTTTGGCACTTTTTGCCTCTTATCTTTGGAACGGCTAGACCTGCCTTTGCCAAAAACTAATCAGCACGTCTCCTTATCAATACGAATCGAATGTTTTTTGAATTATTCAAATCAGTTGATCGGTGTTCCCGAAATCGCCGACGAAATTTTGTATCCGCACACACATAATACACACACGCACACACACACACACACACACATACACACACATACAATCATTTTTTCTAAGGTATGCCAAAATATTCAGAAACCTTTGAAACGTAAAGATATATAAACATTTTCATTTTCGATTTTTTTGCGATTACTATAACTTGCCCTATGGCAAGTTAATAACAAGCTAACAGTAAATTACCTATGGATGACATAAAGTGATTTTAATTTTTTAGGTATTATTTGTATTATTATTTTAAAGAATATGCTCATATTCCTAATAATTAAATTATAAGCTTGTTAGCTGATTATATTTTTTGCTTACAATTTATTAATATTTATATATTTCTTTTGTTTTCAGTTAAGGTCTCTCAATGTTTCTCATTAGAACTATTTGCAAAATTGTAGTATATTTTTGACCACCTTTGTTGTACAATTTTACATGCTTTGTTTCAATCGAATATATAATTTTAATTTGATCTACTTATTGTACAATATTTAATTATCATAACCTCATTATTATAAATCATGTATCTATTAGGTATGTATTTATATCAAATTATGAATATATTTCAGGTGAAAGTGTTTTACACATAGCCATAGTAAACGAAGATCCGGCAATGGTTAAATTTTTGTTGGACGCAGGCGCCAATATTCACGAACGTTGCACCGGAACATTTATGTCTCCGGAAGACCAAAAAGCTTCGAGAAACGATTCACCAGAAGTTGAACATGTTATTGTTCAAAAATTCACCAATTATGAAGGGTTTGATAATAAATACATTATTAGTACAATATTGTAAAAAGTAATTAGTAGATTTTTGGTTAATTTGGAGGAAGTAATGAAGTAATTTCAAGTATTGATAATAATAGATATAATTTTTACATATATAGTTACTATAAATGATAGGTATGGTAATAGAAACAAAATACTTCCTAAGGGGGCGTCCATTAATCACGTGAGCGAGTTTTTAAGGATTTAAAAACTCGCCTCCTTCCCCCTTGGTGATACATGGTGATATTCAAAATTACCCCCCCTCAACCACCAAACATCACGTGTATTTTTAGTCGCTGTGAAATTTTTGAATTGTTTTTTCAAAAATCGATTAAAAATAAATACACGTGATATCTTACTATACTCCTCCCTCCACCACTGGATATTTTGTGATTTTTTGTCAGACCTCCCCTCCTCCTGAAAACCTCATGTGATTAATGGACGCTCCCTCATGTGATAAAACTGTAAAATTTTTGATTTATTTTTGAAAATGTTTGATTTTTGTGTGAAAAATCTGTTAAAAAATGAATACACATGATATCTTACTGCACCCTACCATCCCCCACGTAATACTTCGTGATTTTTTGTCAAATCCTTCCTCCCCCCCTAAAAACCTCACGTGATTAATAGACGCCCCCTAAGCAGGGTTCTATCCAGATGATAGAAATAAAAAAAATGTTTCTAAAAAATATTTTTAATATATTTCCATGCGTTTCGAGTCTCAGTTTGATTCATCGTTAGTGGATAAAATATACAAATTATTTGGAAAACACAAAAAAACAATAAAAATTCAATAAAATTAATACTAAAATAACAAACATGTTAACATATTACCAAACAAAGTTATTGGAATGAAAAATGCATACAAAAGCAAAAAAAACAATTAATTTGAAAAATTAAATTAAAATTAAATATATAAATGTCGTCCATTGTAAGCTCAAGTAAAAATACATTCATATGATAATTTTTTTTAAGATAAATACTCTATTGTTTTCACTTTTTTTATTTGTTGTCACACCTTCGCAGGGATGTATATATATATTCTTTATTCCTTCTTAAACTTTTTTTAAAATTTTGATAAAGCATGAAAGGAACTTTACGTAAACAAACTATATAAATTTTACCACTTCACTAAATTTATTCTTTTTATTTTACAATTTAATTATTTTATTATCCTTTTTCAGATATGTATATTGGGGAGAATATCCACTAAGTTTTGCAGGATGTTTAGGACAAGAAGAATGCTACAGGTTTAAAGTAAAAGTCTGAAAATTTCAAAACTTTGCAATATATTTTAAAATATTATATTTAAAAATTTAGGTTAATTTTGGCGCGCGGTGCAAATCCGGATAATCAAGACACCAACGGAAACACGGTTTTACATATGTTGGTTATATATGAAAAATTGGTAAAAGGAAAATTGAAGCTCCATAATATTATATTAAAATTAAATATATGGTTTTATTATTTTATAGGATATGTTTGACACAGTTTATGAATCAGGAGCAGCCATTGGTATACGAAACGTTTTAAATCTTACTCCTCTTACACTTGCTGCCAAATTGGCCCGAAAAGAATTGTTTTTTCATATTCTAAATATAGAACGTGAAATCTACTGGCAATTAGGTATTTATTCTTATAATAGAAGTTCAGTTTCTTAGTTAATACTTTTCTATGGATTTTCAAAAAAAAATTTTAAGTTATGTTCAATTTGGATTCAATTTTATTTTTTTTATTTGTAGGTAGTATCACTTGTGCAGCATATCCATTGAGTCAAATAGACACTATTGATAATGAAACAGGAGATATAAGCAAAGATTCTGCGTTGAATTTGGTAGTTTTCGGGGTAAGTTATTATTATTTATTACTACTAATTACACTTATCACTGACAATAAGTTAGAAAAAACTTGTGTACTGTATCAATAATTCAAAACAATTAAAATGATTAATAATAGATGCCTAGACATAATACATCAAATTAGTATAATTTTCTCGGTAAATCTTTGAAAATAATTTTTTTGACCATTTTTGTCCATAGGAGGAACTCTTAAATTTTTCGAGCATGACGTACATTATCGTACTTTATTATTGTATTTTGTGAAAATATTTTTAATGCATTTTATTAAATAATATACGATTAGAATTAAGTAATTACGTAATTGTCCCTTCTGACTTTGAAAGAATTTAGTTTAATTAACTTACTTAAATTATTTCTTCCTACCTACATATTTGGTACATAAAGCTTTGGTAAGTTGATAAAAGCTTTATAGAATTATAAGACTACAATTAGTACAATAAAGTTGTATTTGGATCAAAATGCTTAAAAAATACACTTGTAGTTTACAGAATTAAACATACAAGTGATTTTCTTTTTCCAGGACAAAGATGAGCATCTCGAACTCATGGATGGCGTATTAGTAGATCTACTAAAAACAAAATGGGAAGCTTTCGTCAAACGACGTTTTTATCGTCAATTCGTATTATTTGCAATTTATTTCGTAATATCATTATTTTGTTTTACCCTTCGTCCAGGTCCACCTCTTCCTGTGGAGACAACTGCCAGTCCAAAGAATAATATTACTACTAATACGACAAATAGTCCTAATTCGGCACCTTTGTTAAATTTAACGGATTTAGTTGGAACTGTACCAACTGATGTGATGATAAACCAATCTAGGAGGCAGAAAAATTATACGCAGGAAAATGGAATATCCAAAATTGATCAGAGCAAAACTATTAATATAAGGAACTTGTATGGTGAGAATCGTAAGGGAGTATATGAGAATATTGGCCAATCAAGTCATACACCAAAAACCTTGAAGTTTTTAACTTGAAAATTTTATCATGTTAACTTCTGGTTGTTAAGTTTCAATTTTACATGATTATATTCAAAAATTTTAGATGATTTTGATAACTACTCCGTGGCTTTGGAGATTGAGCAATGGTGGTTTACAAATTTTTCATCAGATTGCAGATTGCTTCAAACCGACACTGTCGAAAATAAGGTAACTTTAAAAGTCTTTAAAATGTTTAAATAGATTAATATGACACTTTTAGTTTGCAAAATTTTAGATCAGATTAGTTGCAGAAATTCTAATGGAAATTGGTTCAATTATGTATATAATAGCTGCCCTTCGCGAAGCTAGGTTTTTGGGATATAAAATGTTTATTGAAAATCTGGTAAGACAAAAAAACCAATTCAAATAGATGCATATATTTAAAAAATACTATTATAACTTATTAATATAAATTATTTCTTAGATGACTGCGCCATCAAGAGTCATGTTTTTATTCTCATGTTTGCTGATGATGACTTTACCTGTATTTAGATTTTTTTGCTTAGAAGTGATTGAAGATCACGTCGCAATAGTTATTATGTTAACGACATCTCCTTACTTTCTCTTTTATTGCAGGTAAATTCATAAAAAACTTTATATAATTATTTATACAAATTATTATCATAAACTTATTAGACTAAATAGCTGATCTTTTCTACTTCGATTAATTAATATAATTAATATTTAGAGAAATATTTCACAATTTATGGAATGGATTATCAACTTCAATACAATATAAACAGCACTGGGTCTTTAAAAATATTTAACTTCCCGAAGGAGAAGTTTATGTTTTCATAAAAAAATCCGATTCGCTAATTTTATGTTTTCTCGACGTTTCAAGCCATTCTGAATCGAATGAGACCAAATTTGGAAAAAGTATGTGTGTGTGTGCATGTGTGTGAACAGATTTTTTGCCGTAAATCAACGTTTTCTCAAAAACGGCTGGATCAAAAATTTGAAAGCCATTCGATGTATCTCGATGAGGACTAGGGTTTTGTGCGGCAATCGGCCGGGCCGTTTCTTTGTAAATCGCAGAGAAGTGGAAAATTTTTTGTCCACGTTTTAGCCCGCAATTCTGAATCGATTTTGAAAATTCAAAACCGTTCGATAGATATTGGTTGGGAATCGTGCTGATTAGTTTTTGGTAAAGTTAACTGTCGAAAAAAAAAAATTAAGCCGATTTTTATGGAACTTTTTTGGCGATATATATCATGGTCTTATAGAACTTACTGAAATATTACGGCCTTACGACAAGTAGTTTAATTTTAAAAAATCATCAAATTTTGAGAAAATGAGTAGTTTTTTTGAAGTTTGTTAAAATTAAAATTAGATGATTCACTTGGTATAACTATAGATTACTTGGTCTTAATGAACATACTAAACCATTAACGTCCTACGAAAACTGGTTCAATTATAAAAATTATTGATTTGTGAAAATTTGCTTTTAGAAAATACTCCGAATTAACGTGTTTGTTCGTTTTCAATTGTATGTAATAAATCCACTCGGAATACTTCTAATCACTCATAAAATAATTTGTTTATTATTGATTAAGTCGATTATTTAAACATATCGAAAAGTTCATGTAACTTGCCTTAAGGCTAAATACCAATACCAACTAGTTTTAATTTAGATTGCCTAATTTGGCTATTGTCGTCGCAAATGAATGTTTGCATAAAAATATTACATATTTTAATAATAATTTATTATTATTTAATGATAATATTTATTATTAAAGAGGTTTCAAAACAGTGGGTCCATTCGTCGTGATGATCTACAGAATGGTGATGGGAGATTTGCTGCGATTTGCAGTAATCTACATGGTGTTTGTTATGGGATTTTCTCAAGGCAAATTACCAGAAGTATAAAACAACCTTGAAATGTTCTAAGTCTAATTATGCTTTATTTTCAGCATATTACATTGTATTTTTATCGTTTGATAATCCAAATACGCCCGAAGGAATTGATGATTCCATTTCGAATCCTATGCCGAGTCCAATGGAAAGTATATTGGCAATGTTTCTGATGTCAATGACCAATTTTGGAGATTACTACACTGCCTTCGATCGAACTGATCATGAAGTTGAAGCTAAGGTATACAATTTAAATTATTTAAAAAAAATATCGACGATAAAATTGCTTTCAATTTACACAACGTTACATATTCTATTAATATTTCAGTTACTGTTTGTCATATACATGGCGATCGTGGCTATTCTTTTAGTGAATATGTTAATCGCGATGATGGGAAATACTTATCAGAAAATCGCTGAAACACGAAATGAATGGCAGAGACAGGTATCCATTAAATATTCAATAGTCAATACCTCATCGATTTATTGATATTATAAATTATGGTTATTATGGCATTCACGGAGAATTTTAATATCAATCAGCAAAGCGTATATAATTTATTTATGAAGAGCATTTTTAGAAATAATGCACAACGATTTAGATGGAATATTTTGCATAAGTGAAATAAACTAAAACATGTCTATTGAAAAAAATTTATTTAAATTAAATAAATTGTTTAATAATAATTACGAATGATAAAAAATATATTATCAGGTTTGCTCGTTCCAGAGGAAATTTATTTAATATGTAAAAATTTTAAACAATGCATTTGTTGCAAAAACTACTAGTTATATATCTTTGAGCTAATATAGTCTACAAATAAATACAGCATTCTGAAAATATTCAACTAAAATTATTGAAAGATGCGAACTACAATACAAAAGGGGAAATTTGACTTAAGCACGTTAAGGCACGATATTAATTCAATTTAGTTGTCACATTTTTTTAGTTTTGTTTGGATTGTTTTAGGATATGATACTTGTTTAACTTAAGTCTATAACATCAATGAAGACTTTCATAAATAAAACTTAAATAGCAGTTATTTTTACTTTTAGTGGGCCCGAATAGTTTTAGTAGTCGAAAGAGGAGTTCCACCTGCTGAACGATTGGAAAATTTAATGACATACTCTCAACCGATGTCAAATGGCAAAAGGGCTCTTGTTCTAAGGCTAAACCAAACGGTAATAAGATACATAATAACACTAATTAATAGTTTAATAATAAGTTCTGATAAACAGACAGGCAGACTGATATATGAGCTAAAGACCATCTTTTATGATCATCTATTAATCTGTCTGTGTAGCCACCTGAGTGCATTATTAATTAAAATAATTAAATAGATATTGATTCAATAGATATTCAATGTTCTCTTTTATGAGAAAAATTGAAAAATACAAATAGTGTCCATGAACTCGTTATTGCATTAGTAAAATGAGCATTTACTTATTACTATTTATTTATTTGGATGAGTATGAGACTATTATATTTTTGTATTGTTATTCATGAATTGAGGCATTTTAATTATAGCTCTCATTATTAATTTATCAAATCGTTTATCACAAATTATATTTTGAATTTGTGGGTTAAAATAGTTATTTTATACTTGAATTATTTATATAGATTTATATAATTTTATATTTATATTTATATAATTTTTATATATATTTATGTATAAATTAAAATATATTAAAATTTAAAAAATCGTACAGATACATCCCCAAATTTCCATCTCGTGTTCCGAATTTTTTCAAGAAGTGATATTCGTCTTGGATTGTCCAGCATATTTGAATATAATGGTTTGAAATTGTACTTCACTATTACTTATTATTAAAATTACAACAACTTATTATTAAATTTACACAAATTTGCCGAATGGACAAATAACCGGTCAATTCAAAAATGGACATGGAATGTCTCTTACTTTAAAAATGATAATTTTACATTTTCAAATTCATGAAAATACTTTTATCAAGAGTGTTTTGGACAAATAATAAGGCTCGATTTGAAATTCACGCTATATTATTTACTAAAGTTAATTATTAAGAAAATCCTACAAAATTTCATACCATAGTAGAAACATTAAAGATGTGTAACTATTTCATATACATTGTCAGTAATTCCGATTGAAAAACGTTCATTTATTTTAAAAAATATATACTCAATTATCTGTTGTTTGATATTATGCTTTTTATATGCATATATATTTTTTTGAATAATTAAATTATATAATATTTGCTATGTATAATTTGTTATAAAAAATCTTATTTAAATCATTCAACTTAAGAGTTTCCTCATCCTCCCTCCTGCAACATGTTTTCGTCAAAGATTTGAAGGTAAAAAATTTAGTCACCTTCATATAATCATCATAAAATTATATTTGAAGAGTAATAAACGGGATTCTTAGAAATATTTATATATATAATAATTAACTTCCCGTAGGGCAAGTTATAGTAATCGAAAATGAAAATTTTTATATATCTTTACGTTTCAAAACCTTTTGAATATTTTGGCATACTTTAGAAAAAATGGATGTATGTGTGTGTGTGTGCTTGTATGTATGTATGTTTGGATACAAAATTTCGTCGACGATTTCGGGAACACGGATCAACCGATTTGAATATTTCGAAAAACATTCAATTCGTATTGATAAGGAGATGTGCTGATTAGTTTTTGGCTAAAGCAGGTCTAGCTTTTCCGAAGATACGGGGCAAAAAGTGCCGAAAACGGTAACTCAGTTTTTAAGAGAACGGAGCGTCCGATTTGAATAATTCAAAAACATTTTATTTGTATTGACTAAATGAAGAACTGTTCAAATTTTTGGAAAGGCAGGTCTAACGACTTTGGAGATATGAAATATTTTCAAAATATTTCAAAATAAATGAAGTGATTTAAGATAGAATGATTTTATATGGTTCGAAATTCTATTAACAGTTTCAAATCATTGATCAACTTTTATTGATTATTATTATTGATTATTTTTAATTACACGAATTTTGAATTGCGGTACGGGAAGTTCCAGCAATTTGCCTTAAGGCACGATGCCCTAATTGCCTAAAGACAAAATTCCACTTACAGCTAGTTTTAATAAAAATCATTTCAATCAATCATAATATAATACTCTTAAGATTTTTTTGGTGTCACGCCAGCGTCGTGTTCGGACAAACTGTCGTTAATAATTAATAGGTACAACTGTTTCACATACGGATAATCTGATAAATGGGATAATATTAAGCATTTTCCACCTAGCAACTGATACGTACTTTTAGCGACATTGTAATGAAAGTAATCGAACTTAACGCTTTTCTATTTCCATTTTCCATTGAACTTTGCATGTCGAGTTCGTATGTTAACGCACCTCATGCTCAAACAATCATACACGTGTTTGACTTTCGTAGACTTTATTAATTATGTCTAATTAATAAAGATAAATGATCAAATCTTTCCCAAATCTTTAGGAATATTAAGTTTGAATAAGAATAACCATTAAGTACAAATTGTTGTAATTTGGCCTATAGTTTACACCTTTATAACCTTTTTAATTGTTCTGTATACAACTTAGAAAGGAAGGGAAGAAAATTTAAATATAATAATTATAATAATATATTCTATTAATTAATATATTCTAAATTATGTATATTAATTAGTGCATACCGTTCCTTAATCTATAACCCATCTCATTGGAAAATTCTATGAAAATTTCTTCCAATAAGCATAAAGTGCAAATATTGAATGAATGTCTCCGTCAATGAGAGATTTCCTAATTGAGTACTTAACGAACGAAATATGTATTTCAATTTATACCGAGTTAAATATATCTTGAAATAATTATCAAAAGACGTTTTTAAAAAATCTTTTATGTAATTTTACAGGAGGAAGATAAGGAAGAGATGAAAGAAATTTTAGAAATGAAAACAGTTCACGAGAGGATGATCAAAAAACGACTTATGAAACAGGGCGAAAAAGATAAAAAGAAGCAAAAAGTTATAAAAAAGGAAAGATATTAAGATTTTGAAATAATTCAAATGTTTAAATATGTAAAATAAATTCAAATTTTTAACTATTTCAAATATCTAAAGTTGTTAAAATTATGTAATATCTAAAATTGTTTTAAAGTAAATATCTGAAGTTGTTAAAAATATGCATTAATAATTATACGTTCACATTTTATATCATATATAATAATTGAATTGAATTGATTTCTGTAAATTTAATTCAAAATTAAAAATGTATTCAATATTTTGATTGTTTTTCAATGTTGAAAGATTGATATACACAGCTAATTTATCGAATTAAAAGATGAATTAAAAGAATCGAATCACAATATTGACAATTTTTTATTTATACGTTTAAATTCTTGATATTTGTCTTATACAGGAAATCATACCAGGAAGAACTGGTGAATTCAGAAATTGTTATTAGGAATCAATATTTTATCAAAACATTCAAAGTTATATTTTAATTATTTATTTTATAATTATCGTTATATTCTAGATATTTATTTTAAATTGAAATTTAATATAAAAAATATCGTAACTTTGAGTTTTATTATTTCTGTTTCTGTTAATTATTTGTAGCTTTCGGGTTTTTCAAATAATTTTGGTGATTTATCCTCCGAAAAAAAGTTAAACTGTGATTCAAAAAACAATTTTGTTTTATAAGCATCATTATTATGTCAGAAATAAATTCGATTTTTTTTAAATATTATAATTGTTATATGTATGTTATAATTGTTTAATTATCGTATGTAACTTCAATTAAAATTTTCAGATTGGAAAATATTTTAATTATGTATTTTATTCCTCTTGATGCGATTTGTTGAAAGCAGAATCATATCAAGTTTTAAAACGGACAAATATAAAATTACTAATATTTATTTTTTTTATTTCGACGAATTGGCTGCTATATATAAATTAAAAATATTTTAATTTAACTCTATGTGAAGAAATGAAAATAATAAATTATTTTAATTATTACTGAAATGTTGATAAAAACCATCAAATATAATTTGTCAAAAAACATTTGTTATTATTATATATTTCATTTATTAAACGAGTTTCTACAAAACGATCTTATTACTACCCAAAATGCTAAATATTTGATATCCTATTTATTTTTAAATCATCGCCTAATTTTACTAAAGATATAAAAATATATGTGAAGAACTTTGTGCCTTCACATATTTTTCCGGATTCCGAATATCGGATAGCTCTTTTTTCATGAAAATAATGATGTTTTCAGAATCACTTTAGATAATAAAATTAACTGAAAGTTTTGTGTAATCATATGTTAGCTTAATATTATATAATTATTAATTTTTTTTGTACAAAAATATAAAACACACAAACAAATTAATTTTATCTATTTATATAATTCATTTAATAAATTTATTTTATTAAATGAATTGAATTTCACACTTGTTTTTTAATCCTCATATTACTACTTCCTCCATAATGATATCCTCGTAATTTTGGCGTCTTAGCTTCTAAGCTTTCCGTAACCGTAGACACCATAATTCGTCTAGTTTGATAAAATGCTTGATATGATCGTCGTCTATTTAAAATTTGTGGTTCAATTTGACGTTCTGGTAAATTATTATTATCATTCGATACGAAACAGTTAAATAATCGTCTTATACTTAGGTAATAAAAGATTTCAAATGCTGCTAGCACTGAAAATCCGGTACAGACGCCGAGAATTCCAGATACGTTTACTAGAACAAAATAATTTATTTTATCTTAATTGTGCAAAGATTTATGTTAAAAATTCAGTCCCATAAACCGTATTTTAATTTACACTTGAAATTCAATTTAATATAAATTTTATTCGCTGTACCATTAAACAAATTCTGATTGACTTATGCTTTTCGATTATGTTTGCTTAAATGCTTACATATGAACATGCATTGATTATCTATATATAAACATAATATATATATATACATATATATATAAACTTAATATTGAATAAAATTAAAATATTTATTAACTTACTTAAAATGAGCTTCCAGCTTACATATGTCTGCAGCCTATATTGTGTTCCAAGAACATCTCTATAAGCGACATGGACAACTATTTTTTTATCATCAGCATGACTTAATCTGAAATAAATTATTTTAAATTAAAAATAATGCATAAATTTCAACATAAGTACTTAAATTTATTATTGATATTATCTTTATGAAAATATAAATAAATCAAAATGAAAATGTAATTAAAATGTAAAAGGTAAATTTTACTATTTATGAAAGAATAAATCTAAGAGACTTCAGAAGAATTTTAGAATATATTTAGAATTTAAAGTTATATGCGTATCTACTATTTTTTCTAACAATAAGAATAATATATAGTCAAGCTCAAGATGAAAATAAACGTGCATTTGTGAACTAAATGCTTCAATAATTTGAATATCCGAATTATCTAAAAATTAACTAAGAGGAGAATTATGTAAAATGTATTTTATTTAAAAACTAGGTTATTATTCATATATTAAAAATCATTATTATACAGTTTACATGAGAAATCAATTAGGAATACAAAATTTCAAAGGTGTTTTATAATAAATTATATATTCATTATATCAACCATATATAACGCTTTTAACGATAAAATATCAGTTAATTCTAATTCTAATAATAAAATATTTTTCTACTGCCCACTCTAGGAAATGTGGTGAGAGGGGTCCATATTAATCACGTTAGGTTTATAGGGGAAGAGAAGGATTAACAAAAAAATTTCGAAATATCACGTGGAGGAGGGAGGGGTATAGTAAGATATCACGTGTATTTATTTCTTAACTGATTTTTTTTTAAATCAAACATTTAAAAAAATTAAAAATTTTAGTTTTTTCACGTAACTAAAAATACTCGTGATGTTTGATGGGGGTGGGGGGTAATTTTGAATATCACCATGCGTCACCAAAGGGGAGGATCAAAAAATCCTTGAAAACTCGCTCACGTGCTTAATGGACGCCCCCTGATGGTTATCATTTCATATGATGTCATCAGAAAAATATATGAAAACCAATTTATTATTAAAATCGTAATTAAAATTGTAATGAAAATTTGTGTTAGAATGCAGATAATTATTTGGAGTCGTCACTAAAACAGCAAACAAAATATAAATGCACTGTTCAAGAATCATTTAATTAAAAAGCATTGAATTTCTAATTTGCAGATCCTCCTTGCTTTTTATCTATACACTTTAATGAAAATTGAAATGAAAATATAGTAAATTATTATTTACATGAAATCTGCTTGATTTGCACTATGATTCCCTCTCAATGTACTTGATGCTGTCTCTATTGGATAATCCACATATTCACAATCTGGTCTGCAACCACATGTAGGTTTGTCACCAAATCTTTTTGACTTCTTGGCTCTCACAATCTTACCTGTATATAATAATGACAAAGAATTAGTATCGTATTAAATGCAAAAAAATATTTTTTCTGTAGATACCTTTATGTTTTATAATACATGGCACATCAGTTAAATTACAAAATCTTGGCCCCGCTGAAATGATAAATAAATAATAAATAGTCTAATTAGTTCCAATATAAAAGTAAAAAGTTCCTTATTTCACTTATAATTTATTTTTATTCGAATAATATTTATTGACTATTTGTATAATAATTACTTTAATGCTTTAAAAGAATGATTACTAGAACCTTAGACTTATGGTATACGTTTTAAGAATGCCTATCTAAAAATAATTATAAAACTTTGTATATGTAATTTTATCACTAGAACCGATTCATAAAATTTGTGTATATAAAACTAAATACAGATACAAAAAAGTGTATTTATAAAAACATACATTCGAATAACCGCGAATATTTGTATAGAAAATAAATTCTATCTGCGATAAATGGTTATTGGAAAAAAGCTATTTAAAATAGAATCTAACTGTGTGCAAGATATTTACGCATAAAAACTGATTGATATTTTTATTTCTTGTGTATGTATATATATATATATATAGTATATTAGGGTGGTCCTTAATATGGACATTTTCGAATTTCCTTGCTCCCAAGAGCTCAAGTGGTTCCAAATTGATAAAAAACAATCCTCTAAAAGTTTTAGCTCTTAATATTTACTTTTGGATAGTGCGCAATTCAAACAAACTTCGTATGGAAATAGCATTAAAAAATTTTGAAAATTAAAAAAAAATTTTTGAGGTATAACTTAGCGACAAATGAATTAAAAGTGAAAATTTGTGTCATTTTTTATTGAAAATTCGACGCTCTGCAAAATTTTTGAAAACTTTTTCATGCTATTTCCATACAAATCTTTGATTGAATTGCGCTCTATCTAAAAGGCAATATTAAGAGCTAAAACTTTTAGAGAATTGTTTTTTATAAATTTGGAACCATTTGAGCCCTTGGGAGCAAGGAAATTCATAAATGTCTATATTAAGGACCACCCTAATATATATACATATATATTAAATTATTTTATTTGTTTTATTGATTATACTACTATTTTCACCTGAACCTATATATGGATAAGGTAGGCAATCGCAAAGTTCATAAGCTAGGTGCAAACGACAGGCGGCTGCACAAGTTTCATAACTATACATAAAAAAATTAAATATGGATCCATTAGTGTAACCTAAAAATATGCACAAATTTTATTAAAATTAATATATATCATAATCCAATTATTAATTACTTTCGCTAGGTAAAAGACAATTGCGTTTCATTATTGGCGCGTTAAGGATTTCTTGTGTACAATAATACATTTCTGGCAGCAAATTAAGGCTGACATGCTTTCCAGCAGCTATCATCCTGGTAGCTACATTGTCACCAGGTACTGATAGTGATTCATGTATTTTTACCTAAAACATAATACACATTTATACAGATAAGTAGTTCTTAAAAAATATTACATATGAGATTAATATATTATTTTTAAGATCAATTTTAAATTTCTGTTTTTGAGGTAAAACTTCTTCAGACAGATATTACAGTTGTTCAAGGAATGAGATTATATCGCCAGCGAAAAAGTAGAAAAAATGAAAGCAGTCAATGAATAAATGTTAATTTCAATTACATGAAGTTCTTCAAATACAATTATTACATGATGAGTGAAGTTGCAAAAACAATATTTGTTTAGGCGTTGTTTAACATAATCCACTGTGTGAACGAATATTATAGAATTTATTAATCAGCAATTACTTCATTTCTCTAATGAAGGTTCATTTCTAATAATTACAATGACAAACCGATCATGTCATACTTGAAGTATAAAGTCATACTTATACACATTATATAAATTTGTATAATGGTTGACACTAATAAATGTGGGCCTCACGAGTGTTACTATATTACTAAGAAACTTTATTCAAAATTGTTACATGATGTATTTATCTTTACTTAAATTCCATCTTGTACAGTAGCAAAAAAGTTTTACTTCGCGTATGAATCTTACGCGCACTCTTTTCTTATATAAAAGTACCCAAGATCTATTACAATACGTTAAAGGACTTAAATTTAATTATTACCTATCTAATTATATAGTTATATGATAATCGTTAGCAGAATTTTGATACGGGTACTGTATAAAATGAATCTTTATCCTTATAACAGATAAAAGAAATACGTGACATACCTCAACATTTCTTTTTTGCAGCAATTACTTCATTTCTCTAACGAAGGTTTATTTCTAAATGTTAATTACAATGACAAACCGATCATGTCATATTTGAAGTATGACTTTGATTACATTAATGTTTTTAAATATTATATATATTTTTAATGCTATTATAAATATATAATTTATAATTTATCATTATGTAAATGTGTATAATGGTTGACACTAATAAATGTGTGCATCCCGAGTGTTACCATATTACTAACATTATTCAAAATTGTTATATGATGTATTTATTTTTACTTAAATGTCATCTTGTACAGTAGCAAATAAGTTTTACTTCAATCGCGTGTGAACCTTATGCGTAATTTTTTTTTTATTTTTATTGTTAACTTTGATACATAAACTATTGGTTCAAATCATTATACGTACATGGGCACCAATTAATGGCCATCTAGTAACCAAATAATCTTCTGGATGCGGATCAATATGGACACTTAAAGCTGTAAGAACTCCACAACCAGAAACCTTTAATCGTTTAGCAGGAATCTTGAGAAGTGAATCACTGATTATTGGGATAGATATTTGTATATTTAAATAAAGGACACTAATAATTCATATATAGAAATTATACCTTTCAATAGTTTTTCCATAATAATTAAAAGTAAAACAAACACCTTCAGAAGTCCACGCCCGTTTAAAAACATCACTGCATCTTACACCTTCACCTTTCCAATTACAATATTTCAAAAAATCATCTATATCAGGATGAAGCTGTTGATAATACTAATTATTAATATTGATAAATATATTTTGATAAAAAAAAGTTGTTGCAAACCTGTTCTAAAAGTTCGTGTCCCGTTATATTATTCATATCTAATATATTTTGAAGTTCTATGTCCTCCTCTGAGAATTCTTTATATGATATTAAATTTACAAGTCGTCTAAATTTAATTAGAAGTTCTTCTGTAGTTACATTTTCTGGCAAAGTCCTTCAAAATTATGTTGGAAGAAAATCAGATATTAAATTTGAATAGAAAGCTATAGTCAAAACATATAGAATACTGAGAAAAATTGACTATTATCCCAAACAATAAAAAATCAACAAATTTCAAAAGTAAAGTTTGAGATTCTTTAAAACTAATTTGGAAGAAAATCATTTTTGCTTAGTGTAATGTATTTAAAAATATTTTTTCTATTTGATACTACTAATAAATTTAAACAGAAATAATAACCATAATGTATTCTTCAAAGTAATCGCTGCCATACGACACAAAAATAAATTTAATTTTTTTTACATAGTCAAATCCAAGCAATATTAATTCACGATGTAACACAATTACCTACATTTGTAGGTGTTTAATCATTAACAATAAATATATATTTTACATACATATTATTTGCCATATTTATAGCTTTTTTCTTCGATATTATGTTCACATTGCAAATTGTCACTGCAGGATAAGGCACATTCGATATAGGATAATGCACGTTTTCTAAAACCTTAAAATAATTTTTGTTAATAAATTGCACAGGCAATTTTTTCATAAAATTATAAATATTAATGATATTTACCGTGGATGTAAAAAAATGTGTATTTTCAAACAAAGACATCTGAATCATCATCACTGCGAGAGATATTGATGATGATATTATTGTGATCCATAAAATTCTGCAAAAAAAAAATTACTAGTTTTAAGTAAAACATAAGCAGAATCTTTCATATAACAAAATCGATCGGAAATTAAAAACAAAATAGAAAATTATCTACTGGCAAGCTTTTTTTTGTCAATTGGGAAGAATATTCATAAAATTAAATGACGTTACAGAAACATAATTGATAAATAAATCATTATATGATCAGACTAAGTAAATAAAATATTAACCCACAACTTCTGAGATCAAAGCACTACTTAGTGCAACATTTAACTTAGCTTTCAGTATTTTAATTAAATGATTTAATCTAACCATTTCTACTAATAACTTATACAAATTGACTACTCATTGTTAGAGGCAGAACAAAAATTTTAAATTTAAAAATTTTTGAGGGTTTACATTTATTTCTTTTAAAAAATTCCATTCAGCAGTTCTATCTGGTGCGAACTTATTAAATTGTGAATGAAGCATCATTATTTTATTATGTATGGATTTTATATTTTTTATAGCTTTTGTTATGTTTTGGTATTTTAATTTTCATCAAAATTTCATATTTAGTGTTTTAAGAATTTTTTTGTGCTTACTGGCTTGAACTGCTAAATAACACGTATAAAGAGTCGACATGTACAAATATAAGATTGTTAATTCATTTTTTGACAAGTTATATATATATATATATATATATATATATATATATTACTAATGTAATTACGTACCTCTCAATCAAGTGTGCATTTTCACGTCCAATATGCTTAAAACAATGAAGTCCTGTCCTCTGAGTAAATTCCAAAATCTCGTTTAGCACATTTTTAAAAAACTTCTTCGTCATTTTTTTTAATACCACATATATTAATTGCACGTAAGCAATTACACAATATTTGTATTAAATGCATATTTTAAAACTTTTATTATACTTTTGCTAAAGAACATTTGGCATAAATTTTTACGCTAAAAATAGAGTTTCACTGCTGAATTTTGTTCTGTAGGAGTAAATAATAAAAGTTATTTCGTTATACTAAAGGTAAACGTACGAGTAACACTATTAGCCCGAAATTTCTAGTTATTTATACATAAGAATTGATTCTATATAGAAGGCGGTATGATAAATTGCAACAGAATCATTTATGACGTGTTTGTGTGAATTTGTATATATATATATATATATATATATATATATATATATGTATATAATAATATATACATCTATATATACACTTTTATATAATTACCCAACCTTCAAGTTGATAAGTAGGCTAACTACAAATTAAACTAAGTTTAAAAATCATACAAATATATTCATACTTAGATATATTAAAAAATTAATTAACATATAAAATTTAATATCAAATTTAATAAGTCGTATATATATATATATATATATATATATATATATATATATATATATCTACGTCAATAATTGAAATCATTATATATGGTTTTCAAAGGTTTCCTTTTCTTCATTTCTGTGATGTATTTGGAAACATCATCCTTAGTAATGGCTTGTTTTACTTGAGTCTTTTTAATTTTATATTCATTATGTTCATAATCTTTTGAGTATTTATCAAAAAGTAATCTTATTGTGAAAAAATATACAAATTCAAATCCTCCAACAAAACTGAATCCTACAAATAATCCCAGTAGACCTCCGCATGTTGCTAAAAATTATAATAGTATGAAAAAATTTGTTACTAAAATTAAACATAAATTTATGTAAATACATAACATATTTACCTAAAAATTTGAAAAAAATACAAAAAACTCAAATTTTTAATATAAAATCATACCAATTTTAGGAAAATTTTCAGAGAAATCTGACTTTTAAATATGTAACAGAAAATTCGTATTGATGAATTATGAGCAGTTAGTTCTAAAAATCAATATAAACTATGCAAATTAGTTTTAAATTCACACAGCAAACTATTATATTTTTTACATTATTATAAAATGCAATTAAAACGATGATAGAATGTTAATTATAATTTCCCATACAATTATTTTCAAGACCTAAAATCAGAATATATCATGTATCTATTAAAACGCAAACGGGGTCATAATTATAATTAATGATTGAATTATCAGAAAATATCAATCAATAAAAATAGCGTGACAAATTTTCCTCTTTCGTAACATTTGACAGACATAATTATTTTAATTGTTTCGAATTGAATAATTCAATATTCATTTATAATCTTACCCATCAAACTATGCCAATTCATTACTACGTCTCGTCGAAAATGCGTGCATTTTAAATCACTAAAAAACACGTGTACTATACTGTAGTCTTTGAATGTAGTTTTCTTGCTAAAAAATAATTTATTAATATTATTATCATTTGGTAAATTTATTTTATGAATAATGATGTAATACTTACAATAATCCTAGAACATTTGATTCCTTGCCTTTAGATATTTCACCAGATGTTCCTTCAGCAGGATATTCTAAAAGTTCACAATCTGGTAAACAACCACATGGGCTATATGTCATATTTGGAAGAATAGTATCTATTAACATTCCAGGAACTGATCCAAAAATTGATTCTAAAAAATAATTAATTTTGAAAAAACAGTTCTTCATTTTATATGAGTTTTAAACGAATATACTTGGCCATATGTTATTTATTATTTTCATTAAAATATTAAGTTTTATTTAAATAAAATTTATTTGTCTAGATTATACCAAAATAAAAATATTTTTTGGCATTGGCTTAATTACATAATTTTTTTATAATAGGACCAGTTATAATCACTTCCAATTAATTAAAAAATATTCGAAATAACGAAATTCTGATATATAGTGAAATATAATTGGAAGAGCAATGAATAAAAGTCAATATTAAAATCATTGTTTGGTTTTGTGTGCGAAGACTACTGGGTTAATAGCCTAAAAAATTGATTTTATAAATTAATTGATGACATTTAATTTTGAAAACGGTATAATTTATTTTTCACACGTCTATATCTTTCTAAATATTTGATAATTAATAATAAATCTAATTAATTTTTATTACTTACGATTATGCATACGCAAACAAGCCCAATCTGGTACATCACAAATGTGCGAAATATCTGAAAACCACAAAATAATATTAAATATCATTTATTTATGTTAAAAATAGCTTTAGTAAAGTAATTACTATTGTGTGGAAAATTGTAGGGTATACAACCACATTTTTCCAATGCCATTTGTGCTCGGCATTCACTCAAGCAATTCAGATAAGAATATTTTTCCATCACTCTGAATTCAGCTGTAATGGGAAAAATAGAAATAAGTAACTACAAATAAATGAAGAAAATTATAGAATTTAAATTTCTTAAATCATATTACAGTAGACATAATCTGTATATAGATTTATACTTGAATATATGTAGCTATTGATGTTCCTAATTTTGCCCGTATGGACTGAATAAAATAATTTTACTGATATGAGTTATATTAGAGTTAGTTATGGCAAAAACCTCATTCTGTATAGTACTTGAGTAATAATTATTTAAGTGAACATCTTTTGCATCAAATTATTTTAAAAGTCTAACTAAATATTACACAGGACCACAAAATATTTAAAAACAATGTAACTAAAGTCATACAAATATGACATGATCGGTTTGTAATTGCATTAGCATTCAGAAATAAACCTTTCATTAGAGAAATGAATTATTATTAGAGTTAGTTATGGCAAAAACCTCATTCTGTATAGTACTTGAGTAATAATTATTTAAGTGAACATCTTTTGCATAGACACAATTACATTCAATTGTTTTAATCAAATTATCTTTAAAAGTCTAACTAAATAATTACACAGGACCACAAAATATTTAAAAACAATGTAACTAAAGTCATACAAATATGACATGATCGGTTTGTAATTGCAATTAGCATTCAGAAATAAACCTTCATTAGAGAAATGAATTATTAGTTGCTGATTAATAAATTCTATAGTATTCGTTCACACAGTGGATTATGAACGCCTAAACAAATATTGTTTTCGTAACTTCACTCATCATGTAATTGTGTTTGATGAACTTCATGTAATTAAAATTAACATACATTCATCGACCGCTTGTATTTTTTTACTTTTTTTGCGATAAAATCTCATTCTTTGAACAGCTACAATATCTATCTTGCCGAAAAAATATTTTCCATTTGAATAACTTCAAAGCTTTATAGAAACTACGAACAATATAGAAATAATTTCTAATCAATAAACTTAGGTTTAGTACACGGCTCAAATATTTAACTCAACAAGAAACAGGGTAAAATATTCTTTTGTTTCAGGCATTTTTTATCAAAACAAGATTTGTGCTACGATGTTACTTTAAAATGTTTATTTATCTATGCCGATTTCCTTATTGATATCAGTACGCATACAACGTTGATGTCGGCACGCATACATCGCCAGATCTCTATTCACATACACGACGACTAATCACAATCGACCCGTATAGAAATGATCTCATCGAGAGCCAATGACAAACAGTTCGGGCGTAACAAACTACCGTTGCATTTGTACGGATTTACACCCTAGTCGCGCCTAAAGAAGTTTTACTTCAAAAAGTTGTCTGTATTGGGTGTGCGGTATACTCGTATGTTTCCCAATGTAGTTTTTACCGCTGAGCACGAATCTAAAGACAAAATTGAGGGTAAAATTTCAATAAATAGTAGAAAAAGCCAGGAAACGACAAAAATTATAAGATTTTAGGTATCAAACAGAAGAATTACTAAATGGAAGATTTTGTTGTTTTTTTACTCAATGGAGACAACTTTTTTTATTTTGTGTACCTGCGTGTTACTACATCTTATCCAACCGAAAAGCAAACTGCCAGTGTTCCGTGAAAATAACCATTAGATCTAATATATTTTAGGTAAACCAATTTAGTATATTATTTTCTAATTTCTTATGATATTTACGTTTTTGTTCCGGCAATACTTCGTCTCCAAAAAGGCATAATCTCTTCCTAATGCTCAGGGCGCGCACGTTTTTTGTGGCATACGTCGCTTCCGGGGTGACACTTAAGTATACTTCCGCATCGGATGACACCAATTTTGTTTCGGCATTGTCGTCCGGAAAATCGTACGGATCATGGATGCTAACCTTCCAAAAATAAAATAATAAATATTATGATGTGAAATCTTTGTGAATCATCACATAAGTGTTAAAGATATTTATAGAATATTTTATTCAGATTTAGAAATAGTATTTTGAATTTGCACTATTTTTTAAATCTGATACGAAAGCTCTTTTAACTATGCAACATAAGCAAATATAATGTATTCCCTAGTAAAGAGCATATTTAAAAATTGAATTAAGGTTTTATATTTCGGCATTGTCGTCCGGAAATCGTACGGATCATGGATGCTAACCTTCCAAAAATAAAATAATAAATATTATGATGTGAAATCTTTGTGAATCATCACATAAGTGTTAAAGATATTTATAGAATATTTTATTCAGATTTAGAAATAGTATTTTGAATTTGCACTATTTTTTAAATCTGATACGAAAGCTCTTTTAACTATGCAACATAAGCAAATATAATGTATTCCCTAGTAAAGAGCATATTTAAAAATTGAATTAAGGTTTTATATAAGATAGAGAAAAGGACCTGGTGAAAATTAAAAAAAATGAAAAATTATTTTTAATCAAATTTTCAAAAAAAAAAAAATTAATGATACATTTTTTCAAATGCAGTCAATTGTTCTCATAATTAATTTTGAGAACAGAAAGAGCACTCTGTTAATACTATTAGTGACGACTACTTTTGTCAATATTATTGGCAAAGGTTTCAATTTTAATCTATTTTATAATAATTTGTTTTTAAAATGACCGAAAACTATTACAAAAGATCTGGGTTTTCATGAGTTTAAATTCGATGATATCATAATTACACAATAAAAATCCACGCAATCAGAGAAACAAAAATAATTACTACACGTGAATTGCAAGGTTTTTAACATCATGGAACATTACTATTAAGTAAATGTGATATTTTTTGCTATATCTATTTCATATTGCGTATGAAACTATGACGTAAAATCACTCATGACGAAATTAAACAAAAACAAAAATTTGTAAGAAAATTATTGCAGTTTATTATACAATCACAGACTATCTTATTTTATCTTGTTATCCATTTAATTTTTGATAATGATTTCAAACCTTGATCTATTGTTATATATTTTATTAAGTGAACGCGTCAATATTAAATGCTGTTATATATAAAATTAAATCATATTGAATAAATTTATTCTTCAATTAATTAGATTACTAAAACAAAATATTAAAATTGCTCTTACATATTAAATTTGACCTTACATCAAAAATTATGGCTAAATATAATAAATTATTTTTAAAATATATTTTTAAAAGGAACAAACCTGTTAGTACTACTAATGTTAAATTAATATATCTCATGATATTATTGTACCAATATTTTTCTACCGTCAAGTTAATATTGTAATTAATTTTTTTATGAAACATTATCGTTATACTTTTAGACAAATATTACGTTATACTATAATATTAATATTGCATTTAAATCATATGGATTATGATACTGAAGTTCATTTTCCTAATTGGCGAGTTGAAAACTGCAAACTTATTAGCACCGTATGGTTTCGCATGGCTTTAATTAAACTTAATAAATTAGTATCACCGCAGGTTTATCAAGTTCGTTAATTTTAAAAAGAAAGAAATATAAGAAAAGTTTATAAAGATAAAATTAAAGTAATTACCCATACTCCAAAACTTGAAATTAACGTAGTATGATAATCTGGAACATTTGGCTGAAGCAAGACAGACAACGCAGTTTGATAGCCACTTGCTGATACTCGACGTGGTTGTTTGGGAAAAGTGTAGGCGTATTTCCTAAATGAAAAAAAAAATAAAATTATTAAAATGGCATAGAATCTATGTAATAAATTGATATATAATTCCACCAGATAAAAAATTATAATATATTTTACTTACGGTGCAAAATTGTGTGTGCGTCCATAATAGTTGAAGGAACAACATAATCCTTGGCTGGACATAACTCTTTGGAAAATTGATTCGCAATTTACTTCACTAGATTTCCACATACATCGTTTTATCATATCATTACATTGAGGTGCTAACTAAAAATAATTTCAAATATTTTAAAATACCCTAAATATAAAAGAAAATTATTCTAATATTCTTAAAATGCTAGAATGTATTTATATTAGAATGTTAACACTTCAATTTATTTTTACAATTATATATTATATGACTAAATATCAATATCACAAACTCTAAATTTCTATATTATAATATTATTAAAAAACATATATAACTAAAAAAACAAATTAGAGTTCTGAAGAATATTGGTTACAAAAATTCTCTATAATATTGAAAAATAAACATTGCTGAAATTAAAGTTAAATAAATTTAGAATGTATTTAAAACTAAATTTGCAATAAAGTCTTAAAAATTATAAATTATAGATCATATAATATTTATTATATGAGCTATATAATTAACTAATATTTCTGTATATCATTTCATAACAGTTTTATTAAAGAAATTGTAAAAATATATAAAAATGAAAATATATCTTTTTTATATTAAAATTATTGTTTAGATTATTAGAATTAAATAAACAACATTCTTTATCTATTACAACTTTGAATTTCAAAATTTGTTGCAATACTAAAACATTGCAAATAGCTATTAACTTAGATTTTATTTTGTTGTGATAAAATTCTGAAAACAGTATAGGAATTATTATCTGAAATACATTAATTATATGGCCAAGAATAATTGAGAAATCTATAGAGCTTAAGAATAATTAAAATTTCTCTTAATACTTATTCAGAAACAAATCTGTATTACCCATACATAAGGTAAAAATTCGAAAACTTTTAGATAGTAAATCATAAAATTTTTTTTTATATAATTGCATGATTGCATTAATTTTTCTTGGAAATGTTCTCGGAATGGTTTTTTGGAAAAAACAAAACTGTAACTAAGAAATTGATGCATACTAGAATTATTATTGATGTGTTGAATTTTGGTTTTTGATTAAACCAGCCTAATTATCGAAACTAAATTAAAGTAAAAATATTAATGAAAGCATATAAAGAATTATTGTGAAATTAATAATAATAAATATTTATGAGAAAAGTTTTCCAATATTAAAATTAATTCAAAGATTTTTAATTATGGTCACATGGTCAAGAATAATTAGATTTTATACTTATAGTTTTATATAAAAAAAATCATTAGAATTTCACTAACGAATGCATAACAAATTACTCAGAAAAAAGTGTGCACGAAGATGTTATTAGTGAAAGAATTCCAACGACTCTTGATACTAAATTATTTAATTTAATCAATCTACTCACATTATCCATAGCATATTCCACAGTGATATTATTAATGGCAAATAATTCCTCTAAATCATTTGTTGCCTGTGTGGTGTTGGCGCCGAAAGAATGATATGCTGTCACCAAAGTCCGTAACATTCTTATTGCATCTTCAATTGAGACGTCCTTGGGTCTTTTTACATAAAATTAAAAATTAACAATTTGATAAATAAATTGCTAATACTTGCATTCTTTCAAGATTCTTTAAATATTACAATTTTCTGGCCATTCTAACCGCCGCTGATCTGGAAATTCTATTAATATTGCAAATTGTTACTGCAGGGAAGGGTATGTTCCAAATGCCATGGTGGGTGCTCTCTATAACCTAGAAAATAAAAAATAAAAATTATCGTTCAGAACCTTAAATATTTTCCTTTAAAATATAATACGACTACTTACCATTAAAGTTTCTGAGGTGCTACTATGTAAAGAAAAATACAAAAATGTTATTGCAGTGGACCATGCAGCTAGAGTCATCACAGCCCAAATTATTCTATAAGAAGAAAATTAATACAAATTTCAATTTGTTTACAATATCACAATTATTAACATTTACAGAAATATTATTAAAAATCGTTTGGAGAAACCATTATAAATGAGTTAGCAAAAAATGTACATAATAATCACTAATGCATAAATATGCAATATTCATTATAAATAAAATAAACTAGTTGGTATTGGTATTTTCCCTTGAGGCAAGTTACATGAGCTTCCCGATATGTGTAAATAATCAATTTAATCAATAAAAAATAAATTAATTTATGAGTGATTAAAAGTATTCCGAGTGGATTTATTACGAACAATTTAAAACAAACGACACGTTAACTCGGAGTATTTTCTAAAAGCAAATTTTTACAAATCAATAATTTTTATAATTGAACCAGTTTCCGTAGAACTTTAATGGTCTAGTATGTTCATTAAGACCAAGTACTCTATCGTTATACTAAGTAAATCGTTTAATTTTAATTTTAATTTTAACAAACGTCAAAAAAACTACTCAAACTTTGATGAATGTTTAAGATTTAACTACTTGTCGTAAAGCCGTAATATTTCAGTAAGTTCTATAAGACCATGATATATATCGCAAAAAAAAATTCCATAAAAATCGGCTTATTTTTTTCAACAGTTAATTACAAGAAAACGGCTCGGTAGATTTTCACCTAAAACTAATCAGTATCATTCCCAATTAATATCTTTCGAACAGATTTTAATTTTTTAAAATCGATTCGGTAGTCTGAGCTTAAATGTGGACGAAAAGTTTAACTCTTTTTTTTTCCAAATTACAAAAAAACGGCTCGGCAGATCGTCGCGCAAAACTGACAAACGATAGTCCTAATTGAGATACGCACACATGCTTTGGTCTCATTCGATTCAGAATGGCTCAAAACGTCGAGAAAACATAAAATTAGCTTTATTTATTTATTAAATTATATATTAAGCATATAAATATATTACCATTAACACGATTTATTAATTTATATTAATGATAAAATTTTAATTAATTTACAATTTTAAATTCACATATTATCCATAAATTTGTGAGAAAATTCCTAACTTAAGTTTGAATTCCTAACTTAAGTTTGAAATTAAAATCAATTACAAAAGTTAGATTATCTTATCACTGTTATTACTATAGGTAATAATTATAATTTGTATAATTATTATTTACTATCAATATTACCTTTGTCTCAATGAAATATCTGGTCCGCCAATGTGAATAAATCCATGTAAAGTTGTGATAGAACAAAAATTTTTGAATCTTCTCCATATCCAATGACCACATATAGTAAACGATGTTTCTGGAATATACGATTTGTTTATCATCACTTAATTTTTTTTTCACTTAGATCATTTTCATTTCAGCTACATTATGGATTAGGTTTTGTACTTTTTATTCAGCATGTCCTACTATAATTAACATGAATAGATATCATATTCAAAAAATAATGAGCAATAAAAGGTGTCATTTTTCAAGGTGAATATCATATAAACGCATCGTTTAAGCGACACCTTCCATGACGAACAGTAATTCAAAGTTAGTTACAGTTGCAAGATTAAAATCACAATATTTTATTCCATAAACTGTACTAAATAATTAATCTTCTTGTAAATGTATCCATGTAAGTGATTTTTAACGATCTTGGACAGTGATACAAAACTTTTGATAATAAGCGCTTGATTTTATTTTTAGTTCACTGATAACATGCTGCATATTCAAAGAATTTGTACAACAATTTTGCATTAAGGGTATTCACACTTCCATAAATTTACTTCTACATAATTTCCATGAATTTGATCTCATATCATAAATTTGCTTGAATCATTCACGGAAATGTTCAGGTGATTTTTGCTCTTGAAATTGATTTTTGAATTTAGCAGTAAAAGTATTACTATATTTGAACGGACTTGTCCTTGCAGAAGAAGTTTGTTAAAAAGTTCCAGAATTAAGTCTAAATTCACCAAAGATGGAAGAATTTTCAGTAAAATTAAATTAATTTTAAAAATTTTAATGTTTAAATTAATTTAAATTAATTTAAACCTATATTCTATATCATAGATAAATAAGTATGATTACCTATATAAAGAAATATGTTTTAGCAACTAAATAAAATCTGGATTGTTTATATACAATTTAAAATATTATCTCAACTGAAAATTTCGAGTATTAGTTTGCTTATAAACCTATTGCAAATTGCAACAATTTCAATGTGTAATGCCTCAACTAAAATCTATTATAACGAAATCAAGATTTTTTGTTTTTGATCTAATTTCGGGTTTAAAAGTTCCAGATGTATTCTAATATAATGCATTATAAATGTATATGTGTGTTATTGAATTTGAATATAATTGTTAAAAATAAAACATTCAGTTTAAATTAATTTTTTATTTGTAAAATTTGTCATTATTAGCTTTTTTAGAGGCAATTTAAATATAAGATGTAAGACAGTTATCAATAATCATATTAGCATTTGATGTGTTTACTATAAGCCTATTTATAATATAGCAAGTCATAGTTTTAGAAAATGCTGTTGATAGTTAACCGAGGTCGGGAATCACTGGTAGGTACTTCTTTGTTACTAAAGTATTTACTTACAAACATACATACACACACACACACACACATATATATATATATATATATATATATATATATATATTTGCTTAATCATCTATCTAAATAAGACAGAAAATCAATTGTTCTGAGAACATCAGTGATGCAGCTCTTTACAATGATAGCATGCAAAGGTAATAAAAGATAAAATGTACTTGTACTTTTATTTTTAGACTTAAAATGGTTAATCATTTTTATTGAGCTGGGCATGGTTCCGTAATAAAAACACCTTGGCCAGATTTATATCGAGCAGTACTGTATTAATTGTTCATATTGAATAATAATATTCCATTATAAAATTTGATATAACAACATTCTAAGCTATTATGATGTTGAAACAAAATCAATTGTCGATAAAACATATGATATCAAGATCAAAAAAAAAATAATAACAGTAAAATATTTCATGTGAATTTCAAAAATTAAGAATGTTCTTACAAAATTTAGATCGTTATACCAAAAAATAAAAATGTCCAAATTACAACCTTTTTTAGACAAACGAGAGTTATGTATCCGTAACGTTTAGATGGTAGCTAAATATATAATGTGTATACTTTCGTGTATTAATTATAAGACTGTTTTAAAATACATACTGCAATAAGTTCATATTTCTTCATAATTGTTTAAAAATGAATAGCACTCATATTTAACCCGTCTTTAGAATTTGAACATGACGATTTTCTCCATTCCTAACGTTTGTTTCATATAATAAAAAATACCACGAAAAATTACCAGGTCACCCAAACAAATATTTAAAAGATTTAAGCGAGGAATCTCCTACTCGAAGATTGAAAAAAAAAATGGCCATACGATCTTAAATAAAATGTCCAAAATTAAAAAAGAGATATCTTATAAGAGTAAGAGCAACAATTCAACTTAGGTCTATACTTTTCGAAAACTCTCGACAATCTGAGACAAACAACTAAACCGGGACAAATATTACTTTAGAGAAACCTCTGGGACGCAGGTGGAAATTCGAGACTGACCCGGGCAAACCAGGACGTTGGTCACCTTACTGGTACTCAAAATGTAAATGAGATCCAGGATGTACTTATAATTTAATATAAAACATCAGATTCATCCGACCGAATAAGTAAGTAATCAATTGTAGTTAGAAATTAATAAAATAATTAGCAAAAAAATATGGAACTCATACCGAAAGCGAAAGACGTCTCAAGGGTCTACGACATAAAAAAGTTTAAAAACATTATTTATAGCTATAAATATTTACATATATTATTATCCGGAAAAAACTTGACGTCTGACTAATACACATAATGTAGTAGACGTGATCAATATGGAAATATTAACACTACATTAATATGTACGCGGTCTTATCAGTGACCCCAGATGAAGAATATACACACGTCGCGCGTATCAATATGGAAACGGGCATTCCCATTTCCCATCATAGTTATTTATTTCGGGTAAAAATCCCCTTTCTTCAATCAGCATTAATTCAGCAATTATAAATATTTAATGACGATTTGTTATGAGTATATAAACTGAACTCTTTGCATATCCGGCATCATTCACTAAACGTCTTCAAGTGCTTAAAGACGAAAACAATTCGAATTAATTGCAATTAATATTTAATACAATTCTATCAGAATGTCTTCAAATGCTTTTATATCTATCTTGTTTGGTTGCTACAATGCTAGCATTTGCTAGTTCTCATCCTATGGAAAATCAATATTTGGATGCCAACTACTACGAAGAACCTTACCAAGTATATTATGAGAGAAATAATGGATCAACAAGTGAGTTATCAATACCTGTTGTGTATAGTCATTACCTTAATTAGATTTCAAAAAAAATTTGTTGGTTTCTAAAAATAGCACAATCCATTTTTTGCATGTTTCAATAACACAGGAATCTAGTATTTTACTACTATTTTCACACTTTACTTATACATCAAGCTGCTTGTAATGTATATTAAGAGTAATAAAAGTAATTGCGTTGTATATAAAACTAAAGGTATTATTTATTATCCACTCGAGCATCGGAAAACACTGATTTGCAATATTTTAATTCTAATGTATTACTTTGCGTATTTTCCTATATATTATCCAGAAGTCGCTCTAAATTAAGATACCTATTGTTCACATTTTATTCATTATGGTTAATAATTTTTAATTTTTGAAAATAGTAATATTTATAAAAAAATCTGTTTATTATTTGTTATATTTGTTTAAATTTAATTTTTTAAAATTTTATATTTGCATGATTTTGTATTATACAAACATCAATTAAAAGTTACCAAAATAGTTTTTGTGTCCAATGTTGCGCATATTTTTCAACTTCCGTAAGAGAAGTTTATGTTTTCATCAGAAGTTTTGTTTTGCTAATTTTATGCTTTCTTCGCGTTTCAAGTCATTCTGAATCGTTTGACATCAACATTAGAAAAAGTACTTATGCATGTGAGCCAAAATTTGACCTTTATTCGACGATTTTCCAAAAAAAAGGCTTCAGTTATTTAGTTTGTAAGATAATCGGCTAAACGGTTACTTTAGAATCAGCAGAAAAGTGCAAAATTCGCACACCATTTGCTTTGAAATTTTATTTCTAAAAAGTTCATATTTGCAAAACTTATATTATACAAACATCAATTAAAAGTTACCAAAATAGTTTTTGTATCCAATGTTTCAGATAGTTTTTAACCCGAAGGCGAAGTTTATGTTTTCACAAGAAACTTAACTTTGTTAATTTTATGTTTCTTTCGGATGTAAGTAATTCTGAATGGTTTGACTTCAACATTAGAAAAAGTACCTATGCATGTGAGGCAAACTTTGACCTTTGTTCGATGTTTTCCCAAAAATGGCTGCATCCATTCCAAATGTCATTTGATGATAATCAATAAGAACTCATGTTATTTAGTTTTGTGAAATGATCGGCTTAGCGGTTCTTTAGAATTAGCTGAGAAGTGCAAAATTCGTACACCTAAAAATCCTAGACTTAGGGGTTAGGGGTACTTGCAGGCACAAAAAAATGAGTGTTTTCAGTATTTTTTTCTTGTTATTAAACGATGTTTTTCTACAACAAATATTAATACAGCATTATTATACAGTTTTGACTTGATGTAATAAAAATGTTCAGAAAAAAAAAACAATATTCCCAAAGTTATAGCTGTTTTTGGTTGACCCTGTTTCGAAAAACGGTCCTGCGGTGACCATCATAACTCCTTGGAAATTCATCTAAAGTCAATCAAATTAAAAAATAGTTTTATGAATAGTTAATCCCGGGCCGGATCGAAGTTTTCTTTTTTTTTGCAAAAATTAACAAATGCAGCAGCATCAGAAAGAAAAAAATCTAGATGTTTGGGTAAAAAATCAACAGTTAATTGGTCTTAAAAAATTCAAATTTTTGAAAAAATAAAAATCCTCGATCAGGCACGAGTTTATTATGTATTCTAAAATCTGTATAAATTTCATTAAAATCTACTAAGCGGTTTTTGAGTTACAGTGGTCACCGATTCAAAAAATATAGTTTTGAGAAAAACGCGTTTAAAGTTTCACATTGGATTTACGTACAGAAATTCGAATTATTAATTACTTAAAACGAGTCATCTATTTCTGGGTCATATATAGTTTCATCAGCCATTGTGCAAGTTTCCAAAATTTCCATTGCTGTTGCCTACGAAGCATTCTGGCCTCCTGAGTGTTTCGTTAGCGCGCTGATCAGCCACTT